TACCTATCAAAGAAATGAACTGGTTTTAAGGAAAAAGTCAGGACAAACAAGTAAATTAGAAGTCGTTGGGCCGCTTGAGACAGTTCTGGTTCTTCGATTTTACTGGTTTTTGAATGGTCCAAACGGTTTTTAACTGGTTTTGATCCCCATCAGTTTAATACCTCAGACCAGACCACTATGATAGGGGGTTCCATGTTGAACCGGTCGAACCAGTCGGTCCGGTCTAGTTTTCGAAACTATGATTTTTTTCCCTCACCTCCCTAATTGCGTGTTTGCATACAAATATTTCAACTCAAGATGAGCTTTTTCGGTTAACCAGAGTTAATTAAAAAAATGGTATGATTAGTTGTTAGTGAATTTGAATTTATATTAAAATAATATTTAAAATAAAATAATTAAAGTTGATTTGATGTAAATGTATGAAAGATAAGGTGAAGTGATAGTTAGTTAAAATTATGTGAGTGAGTGAATAGTAAACTAGAGTTCATATGATGTGTAAAAATGATTGGTTGTATTATTTAATTATATTGATAATATTGATGATGGTGGAGTCTCACTCCGGGGACATTATCAAACTAACGCACATGGTGACCGTAAATATCCTAACAGCACATCCTACATGCAGCAATATTACCCAAGACAGTGAGTCTATTGGCCCAGTTTACTAAGCCTCACCCATGTGAATCAAAGTAATAAGTACTACACATATATGCATGTTTAATATCTTACGGGTTAAGAGTACGCAGTAATTAACCGAGGCCTAGTTCGTATACGACGAACAGTATAAAACGAACTGCTCCTTTCTGGGATCATGTTCAATACATAAATGTACTAGTGCAACTAATCAGTCAAGACAAATTTTACGGTTGACACTACAACCGTTCACGATGGGGTGTTCATGTCCATCTGGGTTGTGAACCAATTATTCTTATTTCGCGAGTAACTGATACCATGATCTTCGGTTCGCCCGATGACGACCCACACTATCTAATGCAAAACAACAGAACGTGGAACTTGTTTAATCTAATATGTTTCTCATTCATAAAAGGTAAAAGTGTAATATCATCCAAAGCCAAGCTTTTAGTATATAACACTAACAGTCAGCATGCGGATGATTCTTATGAGTCGACAGCCGAGAGGGTGCAGAGACCTAAGATGATGAGTATGAGGACTATGACTCTGCAGATGAGCAGGACGTTGTACCTCCTGCCCCACGACCTGCTCGTCCCCGACAGGATGGGGGCCGTTTTGCAAGCACCCAATCTTCCTCGTGTAAATAAATTACGTACTTATTGTTGTTTACTATTATATATATATATATATTTTTATTTAATAATAGCATATCATTGATACAGTCAGTCACAATATGTTTTGTGTGTATATATATATATATATATATGTGTTCTATTCTAATGCATGTTCGACTAGCAAACGACCCTGGAGTGATGAGGCCTGGATCGTTAAAGCCCTAGTGGACGGTGGCCCATTGACGGGAGTATTATCCCTAACTTTCTAGGGCACGTAGCCTCCTGTACTGGAACTGGACAACTTAGAGGCATGCTGAAATGTCAAAATAGACAAGGAGTGCACGCCAGTTTGAGGGATTGGCTCTCAGAAATGGGTTCCACTCCACGCGCTCTGATAGCTCAAATCGAGTTGTCACATCTGGTGACCTCCATGCATACTCACGTGGAAACTCCACTTATTTATGCATTTGTGGAGCGCTGGCAGCTGAATACTAACTCGTTTCACTTGTCATTTGGTGAAATGAGTATAATATTGCACGATGTTCGGGCCATTTTAGGGGTTCATGTGGATAAAGAAATAGTGTCAGCAGACCCCGATAGCGGCTCTCTCCAGGCGTACTGCATGGAGATGCTGGGGGTGGACCAGCGCCAGCTGATGGCGTCATTCTAGGATCACGGTGCGATGACAAGTGTCGTCATTATGGAGGCATTTAAGAAGAGAACGCCAGCTCGGTTGGCTGAGGTTGAGGCTACTGCCTGGATGTAGGTGATGCTATGTACCACCTTGTTTGTGGACAAGAGTGGTAACAGGGTAAATCCCAAGGTTCTTCCCGAGATGATCGACAACGTGAGTATAGTTGGGACTTACTCCTAGGGCTCGGGTGCACTAACTTACCTTTACGTACAGTTAGGTATTGCCAGCAGGGGGCGCATATGGATTGTCTGGCTGCTTGACTCTCCTGCAGTCCTGAATATATGGGTATTTCCCCACCTTCCGACCTCATCGAGCGCGTCTGACCATCGTTCTTGACTATGTCGTACGATTTTTCTCGTGGAGCGTGGGGATGACAGAGAAGGCTGAACATCGTCTCAAGTCTCCCAGTCGACAGCATGACATTCTCACTGCTGCCGAGGTACGTTAAGTTATTTTATTTACATTTTGTTGAAAGTTAGTTCAATTAATATAATTGTTTTAATAATTGTTTTTATGCAATTTTGAACAGGTGAACTGGTTGCCATACGAACCCAAGCTAGATCAGATTGAGCCTAGGACCCTTTCTTGCGGATGGATTAGGTATCACGATATTGGCGAGCGTCAACTTGTGCTAGTACACCCCCACCACAAATGATCTAGGAATGGCCAACGAGGAGTACTCGGCGTGGTATGCTCGATTTTCTCATCCTAAACGCTTGGATGACAGTCGGCCAGACGAGCACGGGGGGTCCTTATCCAATACTGATTATGTATGTCGTGTACTAAATTTTAGTTAATGTTATTTCATTACAATATTTTTTTAATATATATGTGATAATATTTTTAATTTTCCTTTCTTGTTTGATGGTGAATCGTTTCTTCTCTGTTACATCAGAGCACCAACGGGAATGCGAGAGGGTTGATCCTGCTTTGGCGGCGAGTTTTGCAGAGAAATTGCCTCAAATTAAGTTGGATTGGGACAAGATGCTTCATTGATGTAATGAATGTTGTTGTTTTTTTTATTATTATTATTATTTTAATGTACGGTCGATGCATGGTTGAATTGGTTTATTTATTGTATTTGTTGTTAAATCATTTTATTTTCATCTAATTTCAGTTGCTATATTACATTCCAACCAAAAATTGAAATTAAGTTGAAATTAGCGTATACGTACTCGATCTGAAGTGAATCACAAACATAAGTGGAAATTAACGTACAAACACGGTCTAATATCATAATATATCAACATCCAAGTCCATTACGAATATCATGCCACAGCTGGACCTTGTTTTGGTAGAGAGCATCCCAACCTTCAACTGTCACGTTTCGGTATCTCTCTCAATAATAAGAAATTGGCGGTAATGGAAAATTAGGAGACAAATTCACACGAATGTAGTGTTCGTAAGAACCAAGATGACATATGACAATCTCGCGTTCAGGTCGTGTAGTCGTGGATGGTGCGTGGAGCTGCAATACTGTCGTACTATAACTGTCGATATTGATACCTTTGGGACCACAACCTAACAAAACAACAACTGCATTAAGCAGTGTAGCTATATGAAAGAGGTCTGATAAAACTTCCATCCAGTGCTCGTTGTCACAAACGCTCCCGTCCCATCTTTTTCGATCGAGTGCGTCGTCGAAGCAACTAAAATAGAAAGGAGCGTACAAGTCCCTGTGGGATGCAACTTCATTTGCAATGTTGGCTCTTGTCAATTTCCACATCTCCTGGTCCCTATACACGTAGCTCGCGATAACCCGAAATTTGCAGTTCCCATTCGCGTAGATTCTGCCAAATACACCATTTTGTAGATTCTGCCACCAATTTGACTTTTATCTAAAAGGGCATTTGCACGCTTTAGTTTTCGAACGACTGAAAACAGCCTTAAGTAAATCTCCTATACTACCTATATAACGTACACATCTATTACACCTCAAAATCTTCTCTTTTTCTTTTTTTTTTTTCGTGCTTTGAGATGATCAATTCGAAGCCATATATAATTTCTATATTTTTTTTCCCACTCAACAGCTTTTTCACAACTATCAAATAGCTCATCTGTAGTAAAAGCAGGACTGTAAAAGAAATGCGGTCGGCTCCGGCCGGCAATCGCAATCGGGCTAAGTCCGACCGACCGGACTTCTTGGTCTTGTAAGGCCTGGCCGCAAGGATTGGGCCGGCCAGCCGGCCGCCACGGAACGCACCTGGTCGGACGACAATCTCTCGTCGAAATTTTTCGGAATTTTTCGAAGCTCGGGCTGGCGTGTAGACGAGAGAGTGTGTAGAGAGAGGAGAGATTTTTTTTAAAAAAAAAAACTGAAAAGGCAAAATTGTCTTTGGGGGTTGTAAGTAGTAATTGAGGGCGGTAAATAGTAACAACCGTTTTTGTTAATTATCTGTTCCTAGCGTTTATGTTATTATATTTGGAATTCTTCATCTTTTTTTTTTTTTTGATACTGAGGTTCCAGGCTTGCGTCTGACTATTCCTCGAGAAAACAGCCCCCAGCCACTCAGAAACTGCCTCCAGTTAAATCGCGGTAGCCACGCAATGACTCCCAGGTTCCTAACACCCTCAACTACCTCGCACAAGGAGTCGATCCCCAAGTGATTGCTCGATGACCCTCCCAGCTCCAAGTTGGCCCCGCCTATCCAGCTGCAGGGTCCCACCGAAGTGGTTGCTTCATGCTGGGGCCCCCAACTTCATGCTGGCCCCACCTATCCAGCCGCTGGTTCCCACCGAATTTCAGTCTCACACACTGCCGCTTGTAGCCTCAGTATTAATTGTTCCACCATCTGTGCTCCCGAGGGCTTGAACCCATGACCTCTAGCCATGGGTACCTCAATTCTTCATATTTTTCTTTCTTTCATTAATGCAGATTACGAACTCAAGTATTATGAGTGTCTTTGGGCCAGATTAAATGGGCTGAATTTTTGGTGAACGGGATCTTCGTTTAAAGCCCAAACTAATTCTTGGGCCGTTCTGGCCTTATTAAAATCCTCCAAAAGACGAGAGCACCAGAAGTAAATACCCAAACCTTTCTTCGTACAGCAACGAACGAAATGGAAACAGCCACCCCTTTTCCAACAGCCACCGCAACCATCGGCGACGGCGCCGTTGACACTACCGCCATCGAATCCACAGCCGTAACCACCGCAACCACTGCCTCTGGAGATTTATCCTCCGAAGACACCTCCACCAATGGCACCCCGCAAGCTGCACACTCCGATCAAACTTACCCTAATCTCTCCCCAAATTCGTCGAGTCGCCCCCAAATCACAGACGCCGACGACGAAGAACGAATCTCCCCCCGGAAAAACCAAAAGCTCTCCGACTTGCCGAAGCCCGAGCTCATGGAATCCGAGATGACCGAACCGCCCTCACTCGCGTACGCAACCCCCGTCGTCCCACCTCAGAACGGGAAGCCATCGGCGGCCAAATCCAGCAAAAAGTCGAAGAAGAAGAGCAACGACGTGTGGACCACAACATCCAGGAAGGGGAAGAAGAAGACGAAGCACGCCTCCATCGGCAACCATAATTCCAAGAATGCCATCACCGGCGCCGGCGAGGATAAAGTGATGATCACTCCAATCCCTAGGTTTCCGGACAAGAATGATGACAGCGTGGACTTGCAGATCTGCCTGTCGAAGGCCTACAAGGCGGAGAAGGTGGAACTAAGTGAAGACAGGCTGACTGCCGGGAGCACGAAGGGATATCGAATGGTGAGGGCAACTCGGGGCATCTGTGAGGGCGCGTGGTACTTTGAGATAAAGGTGGTGCATTTGGGTGAGACGGGACACACGCGGCTGGGCTGGTCCACGGATAAGGGGGACTTGCAGGCGCCCGTGGGGTATGATGGGAATAGCTTTGGCTACAGGGATATTGATGGGAGCAAAGTGCACAAGGCTTTGAGGGAAAAGTACGGGGATGAAGGGTATAAAGAAGGTGATGTCATTGGATTTTACATTAACATGCCGGATGGAGGAGCTTATGCCCCCAAACCGCCTCGGCTGGTTTGGTACAAGGGGCAAAGGTATTTTTGTGCTCCCGACCCCAAGGAAGATCCGCCGAAAATCGTGCCTGGTGAGTAGCTTCTTGTTTTGGTTTTCACAATGTCGATGAGTGTAGAGGCATGGAATGTTGTTATGCTTCATATTTGTGTTTATCTTGTCTCGATGATTTTGTCTTGGTGGTATTGAGAAAGTTTGGGCGTTTGAATTGTGTCCAGTTATAGTTTGTTTTGTTATGGCAGCAACTAGTTTTGTGCTCGAGTTTATTTTCCAATTGCTATTTGATGACTATTGGAAAAATGTTCGTGGTCATTGCTTCTATTCTACCATCTATGTGGGACTAGGCACATAACATTCGTTCACTTTAAAGTGAGTATTGGATTAGTTTTTACTAGTTTGGGTTTTTTTTTTTTTTTTGAGTTGTACATGCACAACTCATCTGTCTAGTTGAGCTCTGCTAGTTATATACCTCATTGGATTGTGGTTTGTTTTGGACTTGGAGTTTGTTTTGAGATTGTGGTTATGTACTTAGTACTACTAGTAGTTATACTTATTTAGACTTGAAGTTTGTTTTGAGATAATGGTTATTACAATATTACTTATGATCATGTGGGTTGCTAACTGCTATCATGTTTTCGATTTTTATTATAAGATATTAATATTATTGTTTGGATTTGGGTGTGTGGATTTATTATAAGTTGAAGTAGATTCATCATTTAGGTAGTGAAAATAAAAAAAAAAAAAGATATTTAATATTAATTTCTAGGCCCGCCTAGGCGCTAGGCGTTGGTCGGGCACCTAGCGACGTCTAGAACACTGCCCTCATCCCATGATCCGGACTTGTAATCCTAGGATTTCATTTGATACTCGGAAAATAATAGGAAGTCTTCATTCGGTAGTTATAATGTTATAAACAAGAATGGTTTGTGTAAAACATCTGACTTTAATACAAACTGGATAGCTTTACACCTAGTGTTTGTTAATATGTCTAAGGTTGATGCAATGTCAGTTTGAACTGATTTAATGGCGCTCTTACTGTACAACTTTTTCTGGTTCAAGAACTTGAGAAAATTCGATGGATCTGAATTGTTGCTTTTGATCTTAACTACATTTGTTCTATGTGTGCACGAGCAATTATCAATATCCAGCAAAACGGGTATAGACAAGATACTAAAAGGAAAATCTTGTTCGTGATTATTGTATTTTATTCTTCTCAATATTTCGAGATCTATGTTTTAAAATTATATATCGCACTATTTTTAGCAGAGTTTTCATATTAACCGTTAAGTATCCCACTTTGATGATTAATTTTGTTCTTTGCGAATGGTTTGCAGGAAGTGAGATATCTTTCTTCAAAAATGGAATATGTCAGGGGGTTGCTTTCTCAGACCTTTACGGTGGCCAGTATTTCCCGGCAGCCTCAATGTACACCCTTCCCGACCAACCAAATTGTGTTGTTAAGTTCAATTTTGGTCCGAATTTTGAGAAATTCCCTGAAGACTTTGGTGGGCGTCCTACCCCGAGACCTATGATTGAAGTCCCATATCAAAGTTATGAATGCCGGGTTGAGAATGAGGTCTCCACTGAGAAGAAATAGTAGCCTATTCACTTTTTTGTTAGTGTGTGTGGTAAGGGTTGGTGATTTTGGATAATTGTTCACTGAGTGGTTGCATTAAGCAAAGCACAAGGGAGTGTCGGGGCTTTAGATTTAGGTAAAGCATAGCATAGAAGAGTGCTTTACTGAGAGCTTTGAATGGTTTTCATTTGGAAAGGATGTAGAATTGTTGCTAAATTTGTTCTCCTGTAAATTATGATTTCTTTAGGCCCCCCTAGCTGGTGCTATTATTAGCAGGTGGCACAAAAGCATGTCAATGACTCAATGTAGCTTTCCCAATGGAAAGCCATCTCTAGAATCTTGTGGAGCTTTGACACGGTTGTAATCAAATTTCATCACTCTTGTATACACCAATCTCAGCTTCAAGTAAAGCATGGAATGATCTTTTGAATTGTTCCCAACTAATCATGTTCGTCCACAAAAAATAGAGATTAAAGATTTCCCTTTTCTGACAATCTATCTCATTTTAGATTGGCTATCTTACTAGAAGATTCTACCCCCACTGCTGTATGTAATAGGTAGAATAGGCATTTCTTAGAATCCTTTTTCAGGTGATGCGAATGAAGGTTGGATGCGCATGAACGCGTACAATCAGGTGCGATGTGCGCGCATCAAGGAGGCTCGCGCGGTAGCAAAGGCACCTGTGGCGACAACGCACTATACGGAGCAGCAGACCGCGTGAGACAAAGCGACCAGCGTGGTGACCGCGTTACAGGTGAGGCGACCACGCGTCTGTGGACGGGACGCGCGAGGCAGCGGAACTGTCGCGCAGAAACCCGACATTTCCGTGCGAGGCGTGAGACTCAAGTTGGCAAGCGTGTCTTGAGGAGCAAGTCGGACAATTTTCCTAGTATGGCTATTATTATAATTCTAGTCTAATTAAGTATTTGATTGTTTTGGAGATTCTTAGGACCTTTAGTATTAGAATTCATTTCCTCATATGCTTAGTATTTCTCTTCTTTAAATAGCCTATGTAATCATCTTTGATTTCATTAAGCAATAAGAAATCACAAAACGCTCTTTCGAGCACAAATCTTGTGCCTTTAGCGTGGGTCCCTACAAACACCCAAATCAAGATACACGATCTTTATCATTGGTTCTTTCATTGAGAGTGATCATGACAAATCGAGACAGGCTTGAAAATTTAAAGGAGAGCTTGAGGACCATCAACAACGGTCTTCATTCATTCCACGCACCACACCATGGTAGACTCGAGCAGATGATGCTCAGCACGGTTGGACAAGGGGGAAACTTCGATTCATCATCAGTCAATTCAAGCGATTTGGAGGGGAAACATGAAGAATTCGAGAGAGTCGGACAGCCGCTCATGGAGCTCAAATCATCAGGAGAGGCTCACGTTCGAGAAGCCAAAACTTACTCTACCGACGTTCAACAAGGTGGACCCAGATGCGTGGTTGAGTCGTGCTAACCAATATTTCGAAATCATCAAAATTTCGAAGGCCGAGAGAGTTAAATTTTGTTGCATACTATCTCGATGGAAAGACAAATATCCGGTGATAATGGATATCGCGTGTATACAAAAAGAAGGATATGCGGATCCGTTAGAAAAAAAAAAAAATAAAAGGTGCTGATTACGCGATTTGGATCGTCGGACTACCATGATTACGACGAAGCTTTGCCACACATTCGACAAGTTGTAAGTTTTCACAAATACCATAAAGAATTCGAGCGCATCACGAACCGAGTGCGCAACTTGCTGGAAAGAGCACTAGTCGGCGCGTTCGTCGGGGGCCTAAAGTCAGACCTTGCTATCGAGGTAAGACTAGACCCTCCAAAGATAATGTGCACAGCTATGGAGGCCACGCACATGCGGGACGAGCACCCAGACGTTGTGCGCATGCCCGTTAATGGATAGCACGCCCTAGATTGAGAGTGAAGCGTCGTCGAGCAACCTGAGGTCGATGCCAGCCGAAGTTCGGCGACTATCTTGGGACGAGATGTAGTGACGATAGGGGAAGGGCTTATCTTTTAATTGCAATGAAAATTTACATTGGGCCACAGATGTAAGAAAAATCATGCACTTTTGATCGAATTTTTCAAGTCGAGTGAGGAAGAGCCCATATTGGATGAGCCAAAGTACAACACCGAGGAACATGAGGATGATCCAAAGATATCGGTTCACGCAATGGCTGCAACACCAGGGCCTACGACGATGAGGCTAGTCGCGTGGGTTCGAGACCGACGAGTTGTGGTGCTAGTCAACAATGGATTGTCCCATAATTTTATCAATGTCACGTTATCCCACAAGTTGAAGTTCTCGATGACGAACGTGGAGCATTTTGACGTGAGAGTTGCCAATGGAGAGAGTTTCAGTGTATTTTTGGGGCGTGCCTATCAAGCTGCAGGGCGTGACCTTGAAGGACGTCCTCTACTCGTTGCATTTGGTAGGTCCCGATGTTGTGTTGCGATTTAATTGATTGGAGGGCCCAGGATCACCACGAATTATAGGGTCGGGACGATGGAGTGCTGTTCGGTGGATAGATTGGTCACATTGACGACTAAGGCCAATGAAGGCGTCAAGGAGACGGGCTTGAAAAATATTGAGCAATTATGGAAAATGGGGCGCCAATTGTTTGAAGTCAAGGTAGACAGCGGAGTCGAGGAGACTGAGCTTTCACTATCGCATCATCATGAGATTTGAGGGTTACTGGAGCAATATGACGAGGTGTTGTCCGAGCATAAGGGCCTACCTCCGCGGCGACCCTTTGATCACCATCTTGCTAATTGACGACAACAAGGTCGTACATGTTCAATGCGCCCATTTTTAGAAGACGGAGTTCGAGGCGGTACTCGCGAATAAAAGTGTTGGGACTTAGAGAGTTTGCACGAATTATCGAGCCTTGAACGCAACAACCATCAAGGACTGTTTTCCAATTTTGAGCATTGACGACATGTTGGATGAGCTAGGGGGATCGCGGTATTTTTCACAGTTAGATCTAAGGGTCGGATACCATAAAATCCGTGTGGCGAAGCGGATACTCCCAAGACGGCTTTTCGTACACACCAATAGCACTACGAGTACTTAGTTATGCCTTTTGGATTGTGTAATGCACCTTCAACCTTTTAGTGTGCCATGATTCTATATTCTCAGAGTTCTTGCGCAAATTCGTCTTGGTATTCCTCGAAGACATATTGATCTATTTGAGAGATTGAGAGGAACTCTTGGAGCACTTGCGTGTGGTCTTAGATTTTGACGAATAATTAGTTTCACATCAAACCATCGAAGTGCTCATTTGGCCAGGAGACGGTGGAGTACTTGGGCCATATTATATCTCATGCATGAGGGCGCGAAGGTTGACCCACGAAAGATCGAGGCTATGGTGGAGCAACCGAAGCCGAAGAGCTTGACGGAGCTAAGAGGCTTTTCGGGGATAACCGAATAATATCAAAAATTCGTCAAACACTATGGATCGATAGCCAAGCTGTTGATGTACATGACCAAAAAGGGTTGGTTTAAGGGGGGCATGGCAAGCGAGGCCGCAGTTGAGCAGCTCAAGAGGCGATGACCACCACGCCCATTCTAGCCATGTCGAGATTTGACGTGATGTTTGAGGTGCATACTGATGCGAGTGATATTAAGATTGGGGCTATTCTTACACAAGAGGAGCGACCAATTGTGATTTTGAGCAAGGCTCTAATGGGCATGCGCACTGGATGGTCGATATATGTGAAGGAGATGCTAGCAATCGTGGAGGAGGTGTGGTGTTGGATGCCCTACCTCTTAGGGAAACGCTTCTGGATTGTGAGGGACCAACAACCACTCAAGCACCTCTTGGAACAGCAAATAATGACCCCGAGCAACAGAAGTTCGTATCGAAGTTGATGGGGTTCAATTTCGAGATTGTTTATCTGTAGGGGCATCAAAACTCGATGGCAGACGCTCTATCGCGTCGTAACGACGTGGCCAAACTGCAATCTATTTATGGCCCGACGTGAGGTATTTGGGGTTAGTTACGAGAAGCGCACGCCCAAGACGCTTTTTTGTAACGACATCCGTCAGAAGATGCGGGTGCAAGACGAAGCAGCCTACGATTACGACGACCACGACGGGTTGTTGTTATTCAAAGGGAAAGTGCACATGCCAGAAAGCAACCACTTACGAAGTACGACCATGTGCTACTTTCATAGTTCGAAGGTAGGGGGGCCATTTTTTCTAACAATACTATCAATTCAATATGCGACACATAAACAAATGTGCATTAGTGATATACTGGTTTCAGAACTCGGGCGAAGTTTTTTATATCATTCACAATATGCAGAAAATGGTACATGGAAAAATTACTAGTAATGGAGTACCGCTTCTTCTAACTGCTTCTAGATGTAGGGAAAGAGGCAGCTTAGAAACATAAACAACTAAATTTTCGGGTTTCTCAAATGCAGTCGTCCCCAGCCAAAGCTTTTTTAGTTCAATCTATCTACATTTCCAAACACAAAGTCCAGACAAGCCACAACTATTTCTAGTTCCAAGACTGCAAGAGAGATGACCTTGCCTTGAAAAGTATCTCCACAAACTCTTGCCGGCATGCATCCGTAACAGATGTCATTTCAGTAAAAGAGACTAGTTTTCAGACTAGTTTCATTCAATCTGCACCAATCAGTAATGGGGTCAACCAAATGAAGGGCAAAACCACTAACCACTACAGTTCATAGTGAGAAACTATATATAAACCACTAACCACTACAGTTCATAGTGAGAAACTATATAAATTCATGTATCAGAAGCTACCCTCAAGGGGTTTGTATTTTTCTTAATTATCAATTGCTTTACCTAGATATATTTGTAAAATTGTATATATATGGGGCATTTGTAATTTGTGAAAATAGAAACAAATTCTGGAAGCACAAGTAAAAAGAAATTTGTAATGCTCTGCAGAAAACTACATCGAAAGGTAAAATATTACATTGCCAACACGATCAAAAGTGGGATTAACATACCACAGCCCCAACGCTAACTCCCATCAGTATCCCTCAAATTCTTCATTTTTCTTTTGTGCTTACGCTTCAACTTCAAGGCATCCTTTAACGTCTTATCTTTGATCGTCTGTTGTTGAGCGTCATCAGTATCATGTGACGGAAGTGACAGATCCTGACCTCTAAGGGGTTTATCAGTCTCTGGATTTTCAGGTGATAGTATATCCATCTTCTTTTCCGGGTTTACTGCAGCTATAAAATATGAAATTACTTGTGCATCTCATCTAAACCAGAATTCCCAAATGGGTACAGTGGGGATCAGACAAGATTAGTTTTTCAAAAGATGCCCACAGAAAAAATAGAAATAAAACAAAAATGTTGAAGTAGCTCATATTGAATTCATTATTGTGCTAGTAGTATTTGAAATTATCTTGACAAAATGACAACTAAGTACTGGAACAAGAAAGTAGGACGAAAATCTCCATTTAAGTAGTTAAAACCAAGTGTTTCTACACAAGCAGACTATTAGAAATTTAAAATACCTCTCTCTACACAAGCAGACTATTAGAAATTTAAAATACCTCTCGAAGCTAGAGATGCCTTGAATTCATCAACACTGACACCCTCAGAATATGGATCCCTGCAATAAAAAGTTTTATTCTCTCAATAAACTGATACCACAACGAGCTTTGCTTTCTACTTTTTCATTGATGAAATGTTTCATATTTAGAAGCATCAATTTCATGTGACATGAACGTGTATCTACATTATTTTTAAAAACACACACAATGACATAGTACACTCCATGTAACTAAGGGAGAATCTCAGCTCACTCATTGACGAAATTTGTGATCTGCAAATCGGAAAAGAATAATCTAACTGTGTAGGTCAGAACGATGAACAGCCCTACCAGCTAGAATGCCCGCCAATAAAAGCTTTAGGTATGACATCCCCCAAACTGCTTTCATCATTTTTAGATGAATGGATTTCAATTTCCATGTCCTCTTTCGTACTTGTATCATCTGCTTTCATTTCATGCTTTCCCATTTCCTTTGATAAATTACCAACTCCCTTCGAAGCATCTTGACTCACACCAACAGAACAAGGGTGCCGTTTGATCTTTTTCAAAGCTCTTGCTGAGTTGTACACTTCAACCTGCATACAAGCGCCATAATTTAGTATAAAATAATTTTAGAGATCTGAAATCATCCATTACACAATTTTTGCATAGGCTAAGCACAAAAGATTCATGACAGATATTTCCTAGACTCACACTGACAACTTTTCAGTTTGCATGCCTTCTTGCAAACGCTTAAATGAGAGTTTAATTCATCAAGAAATGCACAAGCGCAAAGGACAAAACTATAAAAGAATTGCTTCTTGGACAAATCAATCAAAAAAGCATCTTTGCATCTAATAATCTAACAGGCACACGCAACACAGTTTGCAAGAACAGAACACCTTGAAAAATACACAAATCACTACCACAGAAACTTCATGAAGATATAAAGCTGGAAACAAAAAATTTGTTATATTCCCCTAAGGTATTCTAGGTTAAAGCTGGAAACCATGATTACCATGCAGTATTCAAAGCGAAAGTGTATTTTATAGAGAAGAAAATGAAAATCTCAAGCAAATGTTTGACAATAAAAATATACATGTCAGAAGAACTTCTAACCCCTTTCTTTATTTTGGTTGTTATATCACCAGCCTTTACAGATGCAATTCGCAAGCATTGCATAATAACGCTCTGGATGACGCCTTCTCCTCCAGCTTTCTGAAGAGCACAGACATCACCATTTGTATTGAGAGTAGCAGTCAGTTTTCCTCCCATAACAGCTTCTTCAAAGTGTGACGGGTCAATTACCTAGCGACGTGTCACAAGCAGAAGCGATTTTAAGAGACGCAGCTCCCCGATGATGATGATTATGATAATGATATCCATGGCATACTTACCACGGTGCTCTCGGCCCCAATAAATGCAAAGGTTACTGCTATAGGTAGATGGTGGATAATCAAAGGAAGTGGTTCCTTCACCTGCCATATTCATAAAAACACAAAAATGAAGCCAAATATTGAAATTGCCAGTCAAGTCACGCTATCAAAAATTATTAGAATTTGGCACCCACTATCACCTTACAAAAAAAGAGCTCAGTTACTTTTGATAATCACAAGTAACCGACTCGGGTCCTGAAAGTCCAAAGATATAATCATATCAAGTCCACTGAAAAAGAGCTCGGTTACTTTTGATGATCACAAGTTGAAAGTCCGAAGATATAATGCATACCAAATCCAGTGAAGCAGCTCCTTACATAGAAGAGCAATGCTACCAAAAACCCATATCTAGAAGGACAATTCATGGTACCAGACAAACTTCACAGATTGCATTATGAATATAGTTAAAATTTGAACCAAATACATCAGAACTGTAATTATTTCATAAATGAAAATGCAAATAGAAGGAAGAAAACAACTCACTTCAGTGGGATGTATGGTAACTTCCTGACCATCTTCTCCTCCCAATGTGCACTCTGGCCTTCTGAAAGTCATAAGAGCAGCCAAAGCAGCAATATTGGCAGCATCCACAAGATTCCTACTCTCAAGGAACCACGAGATACCAATAAGGTAAGGTCATCAGAAGCATATATATCATATGCATGTAGGATATAAAGATGTACTGATGTACGAGGTCCACTCACCCATCATTTTCTAGAATGTGAAGATCAATACGAATAGACCACACCCATTTACCAGCAATAACACAAAGGGATTCTGTATCCACTGCCCTGCTTTCCCTGCAACAAACTTCTCACAGCTCAGTATGATGTGATATTCCAATGCAAGAAATAGAGTACATTGGAAGGGTGAACACAATCAAGTTCCATCACAACCGAACTCTAATTATCATTTAGCCAAAGAGTTCATTAATTTCACTAGGAAGATATAATAAAGTTCCTTTTCTTTTCCGAAACAAAAGGTTCAGATGCATTGGATAAGACAATGCAGCTTTAAACATTACCTCAACCCGCGATCAATTATGCGTCCCAACTCCACTGCAAATTCCCCAGGACGCCCTACTTCAAATGAGGGATCGGCCATTGGAGAAAATTCGGTAAATATGGAGAGAGTTCCTTCATTCGGGCGGTCTCGATAAGGTTGCACCAGATGTGAGGTCACAAATCCCATTACCCGAGTTCGGCCCAATTGTACCTCGGATGAGCCATCCCCGCTGTTATTAAACCACAAATTTTAGACGCATATCCCAGAAAGTTACAAACTGTATGCTCGAAACATAAGTTAGCCTAAAGTTAGAAAAGAGATTTTACTGGGAATGTATCAAGCGTTCTTACCTACCAAACTGAATTGTCAAGTTCCGATAATCAAAAGGACCGCGGCCATCGATCCTGAGATCCGACAGCAGCGCCGTCTCAATGAATTTCTTCTCATTCACTGTCATTCGCCATGAATTAGAAAGCCTCTGCTCCATCTCTTGTGGCTCTCAACTGTATGTGCTGTGGAAATGGCGAGCGGAGGAATTAGGGTTTTTGTTTCAGGGGGTTTATTTGAGTTGGTTCTCACTTCTCAGGGTACAAGCCCAGTATGCCTGTTGCAATATGGAACAACATTTAGTAGTGTTTTTTTTCCAACTTTTGAATTCAAATTTGTGGAACATCTTATTTTTTTTCAACATTTAAAAAAGGCTGTAATGCTAAGGAGCCAACAATTGGCTCCGTTATGGAGCCAACAACTAATTGGATAACTCATGTGGGGCTGTCCCACATTAAAGTATTGTGGGCCAGCCCCACCTGGAGTTGTCTCATTGGTTGTTGGCTCTGTAACGGAGTCAACTGTTAGCTCTTTAGCATCTATATATATATTAAAGCAAAGCAGCTCAAAATTTCCCCCCAAAAATTACATTTAATACATTGTAATAACTTTTATCAATTTCTATGCATGATTTATCAACAAAAAAATATTTATGTCATATAAACAATTAATTTATATTTTAAATGTATTGGAATTTGCACTCCAATTTTTCTTGACTAAATAAATGCTTTAACTACATCTATTACCATGAAATAAATTTTGTTAATTTCTATGTATTATTTACCATTCAAACAATAACATAAATATGTGTTACAAGTAAATACTTATTTTAGTCATAATCAATTATTATACAAATCCCAATTATATATATTTTTTTTATAATCAATTATTGTTACAAATAATGTTTAATATTATACATAATTATATTTATTATGGATTCTCATCTCAATATCTCACTTATTATTTGTCTCACTTACAGTTTGTGAGTATGAGTTCCTTTCTTTTTATAATATTTTTTATAATAATAAATTATCAATCTTATTTAATTAATCACTAAAATAAAATTTCAAGTCAAATATTTTATTTAGTTATTATTTTTATTGGAACATCAAACACAATATTATGTTTTCGGTTATATTGGGTATATTTCAAGGTAAAATATAAAAAAATAATAACTAATATGATATTTATATGTAACATATGTTTTCATAAAAATATTTAATAGTAGCACCACACCACATTTGAACTATATACTCTATATTGATGGAATTTACATACACATTAAGAAAATATGTAATCATCTCTTATTAATCTAATATTGTATAATTTTATATCTTTATATAATTCTAAGAAATTACAAGTGATCATTAATTTATTTGTATTGAGTACATCATTCCAAAACAAGTAATTTAAATTGTAAAATATCTAATCATTCACAAACTCTTATGTGAGCTGAAGTAAAAGTTAGTCAAGACAACGTGTCATTCTTTTTTAACAAAAATGTGAACTTAGACCTCCAATTTCTACACTTTGTTTATTTTATTATATATTTTTAAAATAATAAATAAAATAAAATAGAGTGAAATAAAAATAATGATGTTATATTTATCATATATAACATAATTTATTCGACTAAAAGAGATGTATTTTTCAATAAAAAAATATCATATCCATATGAAATAGATCTAAAAAATGTTGAATAACCTTAACTTGAGTAAAAAAAAAAAAAATAGAAAATGGTAACATAAAGAGTGAGGGGTCTCAACAACAACAAGAGAGTTAAAATAAGTATTTATATAGTTTTGACTCAGAAGACAAAAATGATCATATTGATTGAATATATCTGATAACCATTTGCTTTATTTATTTCATTTGATCTTAAATTTGAGGTTACATAAAAGTTGGTGAAAAGTGACAAAGCTTAATTTTTATAACAAATACACAATTATACAGCTTAATTTTTATAATAAATACACAATTATACAGCTAAAAATTTTATAATAAAAGTAGCATAATTTATCAATTATTGTTTAACTTTTGTTTATAAACAAATCTTTTTTTTTAAATGAGAGATTGATGAGAGTATATTATCGCAACTGAATGTTGTAGTGATAAAGTTAAATACAACTTATTAAATGAATCCACTACTTTTTCCTTATCATATATCAAAATGTTAATTTCGCAATAATATGTTTTTAATATATTTTATATACTATCATTTAAATTTACTTTGCGTATTACTTTACAAAAAAGTTTGTCAATTCTTATTTCTAAAAATTACATTGAATTATCGTTTTCATCAATTTCCTGGAAAAATAAGTACTTTAATATATTCTCTTTAATTTCATGCAATAATAATAATAATAATAATCAGTATTTTAATAAATATACAATTTTACAGCAAAAAAATTATAAATAGAAATAGCATAATGGACAATTATCTTAATTTTTGTCCATATAAAAAATGTTTTTTTTTTTCCATAAGAGAATGATGAGATCATAATATTACAATTGAACGTTGTAGTCGATAAAGTTAACCACAAACTCATTGTAATGCATCAACTACTTTTTCTTTATCATGTATCATAATGTTAATTTTCTTTTATCTCTTTTAGATTTTATATAATATAATTTCAATGTTTTTTTTGTATTACATTACAAAATTTTTCAAAGTGTTTTACTATAATATATTGAATTATAATTTTCAATGGTTTTATGCACAAATAAGTATTTAATATTACACTGAATTACAATTCTCATGAATTTCATGCAAAAAAATAAATATTTTAATATTGAGTTAATGAGTCTATTTATGACTTTATGAAAAATGATCAATCTTTCACGTCATTCTATAATCACCATCGCACTTAATTTGTGAAAAAAACGAAGTTGAGATTTATTTTGTTAATAAAAAAGAAAAAATATGTAGACTTAATTTAAAATTAAATACATGCAGATAGAAGTTATTTTAATTTTTATTAGATATTTAATTTGTATTTATATATTTTAATTTTTCATCTTCTTACATGTTAACATTAATATTCCATATTAGTTTATTTGTACAATAGTAATCATGACTTTATTTTCTTTTTTAAACTATGAAATTTATGTTATAACATATACATTTTTATGAAAAATTTTGAAGAAGAGTCATTAATGTGACCAATATTTTTTTTTTCATGGTATATCACATTTTTGTAAGCTTAAAAATGTAATTTTAAAATTTTTCAAAACAAATTATATTGGATTTTGTAATTTCTTTTTTTGTTAATTGTTATTGTTTTTGGAGTCACAATCCATATTGTCTAATTATTGTTATTACTATTGGTGATACATAGTTCACTTTCTATTGATGTTGTATTTGTGGAAGTATTTTTAAATGGATTAATAAAAAATTTATTCTACATTATCTCAATAAATTTTTTAAAAAATATTTTTTTATTAAATTTTCATTCATTCACATCATTTTTAATATTAGGCCGCGCAACGCGCGGGTAACGTACTAGTTATTGTTAAAAAAGGTGGACGCGTAGAATTGATTCACACAACTATTTCATTTTTAGTAGCCTTAATTTCATACCAAAATGCGCAAGAGGGTTGCGGGAAAAATCAAGTTTTTTCATTTGTTGTAAAGTCGTAGATTTGTCTAATAATTGTTATGTGTCTATAAATCTGCATTTAAAACATTAATCTCGTTTAAGTGGCATGGTTGTGAGTTAAACACGTGAATGCGTCTTTCTGCCTTTTTAAAACAGCTCAGACCACCTGTTTAATTGTTGGGTCATCGAGTCTAGTGTTAAATTGAATAATTAATTTTAATTTTAAAATTATTGCTATAGTATTTTTGTCATATACATATACATAAAAATAAAAGAAATAAATGTTTTGTTAGCTAGTGCATCAAAATATTAATGATATTGTATCTTCTAATAAATATTTACAATATAAATGCTAATAGATAGTTTTTAGTTTTTAAATAAAAAAAGTACAAAAATTATAATAAATATATAGGTAAATAGGAATGGGGTCGAACTGGATTGACTCGGGATGCCTGATCAACAGCGTCAAGACCGGGTTAATCGGGTTTCAACAAGTCTAAAGTCACCCGATTCGAAGCAACCACATGGATCGAGGCTACGGGTCAATTGGGTCCCTGGTCGATCCGTTGGGCTTATTCGTGTTGAAAAACTTATATATCTATATATGTTTGTATAATAAGGTTTGACATTTACTAAAATAATAATAGAATTATCCCACAAAATATATATATATATATATATATATTACTAAAAAAAAGAAATTTTTTGAGTTAATATTTCACATATTTTTTCTCTTTATTCTTTTTTTTTTTAAGTTGTCATATGTTAATTGACTTATTAGTTGAACTAATCATTCAATCTTTATATTATCTTATCATTCTTACTTTGGGCAAAACTTTTATTTTTTCAACAGCAAATAACCATCATAAAACTCCAACAACCAAATACAACGACTTCGAGTAACCAATTAGTTACAAACCACATTCCTGGCCACGAAGACTAAGGAACATGATAGACGAGGGACACACTTTATTCCAGTCCTAATGGCTAACAAAAAAAAAAAAAAATACAAGCACCAATATCCACAAGAAAAACTGTTAATATTATGATTATTATTGTAAATATAGCTGATTAGTTTAAACATTAGAAAGCATTGTAAAGTTGCTGTTTTATAAAATAGCAACTATAGGATCCTATGTAATTTTACTTTTATGTCCTCTGTAACCCTAAGTATAAAAGGGTCTACACCCTTCACCTTGTACACACTTTTTTTCACTTTCTCTCACTGTGTAGAAATTAATCATCGTTGTTCTTCTTCTCTTGAGTTCTTCTTTCATTTTTCTCTATCGATCATATAATCCAACATGGTATCATTCGCCAGTTTACCGATTCTCGCTTCCGCACGTTGAATCTCTCATTTTTTTTGTTGCTGCGATTGATTCTCCATATCTGAGAATTCAATCGATCTAGAGTTTTCCATATCTGAAAATTCGACTCTCGATCTAGGGTTCTTCGACCTCTGAGGCCCGATTATATACTATTTTGCATTCTCCATCATCGATCTACTAGTCTCGGTTCAGA